TTGTTAAAACATTTCACTGTTTCCATGTCGACTAGGCTGCAGGTGGGCGCCTACGTTATACATTCCTGCCTGGCAACAGTTTGCACAATCACAGGCCTGACAGGAGTTGACTGCCTCCGAAGCCCAATTGTACCGCGTTTTGCTGCTTGTAAAAATTGTTTATCCATCGCCTGGTTGCACATGAATCCTCCACATTACTGCCAAATGTATCATTGCACGCGTAGTCCTCCCGGCCAGGCTAAGTTTGCCCGGCGAGAGCAGGGTGGAGTTTTTCAGAAGGGGCCAAGGGTACGCCCGAAGTCAATCTAGCCCTTATCCTGTAGGCTAAGCACTTTCTTGGAGTTTGGTTGTATGCCTTCAAAAGGATTGTTTATCATGAGCAACTTTGAGATACTCTGATAGACTAACTAAACGCAGCCTGTGCAGGAAGCCATAACGTTGAGTGACACCGGAACTCGGTAGAATAACGTTTCGGGCGTCAAACTTTTTGTTCGAGTGAAATTAAGCCGATGCTGTCGTCGAGGCTTCTACCAAAGCTGCAATCAATCACTGTATCTATGACAACTTACCGGTGCTGAACGGCTCGTTAACAGCTAGGACGGTCGTGACCTACCTGGTTCTCGTGGATCAGGTGAATGAGGGTTGCGAGGTCTGGTGAGGAGATCAAAACATTTAATAAAAATGAGTGTTGCTGATCAAGAATGTGAGATTATCGAAGAACATTGTTAGTGCTGCCACGGACCCGGTCGACAATTCGGAGCAAGTATTTGCGAGTGAAGAGGATAAAGATACCTCGAAGCTGTAAGAGTCGAAAGCAGCCGGTCAAAAGTTGATAGGTCTTGGATAGCGGAGTAGATAGAATTTATGGGATGGGAAAACTCTTAGAGTCAACCTAGGTTGCATATGGTGATGAGGGACAGACAGTCGCTAATTTTTCACTTGGCTTTACCTTTCAGAAGACTACCTAATCTAGGCTGGTGGGATAGTTGATGAGGCAAATTTTTATTTTGCCAGTATAATCGGCTACACTACTTATATTCATGGCAAGTAGGCACCAAGATTCTTAAATGACCTTAATTCAGAGAATACCTTTAAGTTACGAAGCATGTGAAAATATGCCTTAGGAATGTCTAGGTTGTGGTCTTGCAGATTCCTGAGCCTCGGCTATAGGCAACTTCGTCCAATAAGCACCTGAGCAGCAAGCAAAGAGGCCGTGTGAATTGTTGAAATCAATCTCAAGCAAGGGTTCCGGTAGGCATGCACGCCGAGATCAAGAGGAAGTATCTCCAAGACTAGTTACACAATGCCAATTTTACCTGATTGCAGTGGCCGATCCAGTGCAGCACCCAGGAATGCAACACGGAGCAGATAACAGCGCAGTTACGTCACCGCAGAACAAGAGAAAGAAGCGATGAATCTCTTCATCCTGCACTTTCACACGAAATTAAAATTTCAACAAAAATATCATTTTAAGCGATCCATCAAAACCCTCTTTTTATCCGTATATAAAAAAACTGGGCTACAGGATGCTCAACAGAAGCTGGACTGGGAATTTGTAACTCAAACTGCACCCATTGGGAGTGAAACGAGGGAGCAATTTGAGAGTTACTTCTCTTTAAAAAGCCTTCCAATACACACAAATAACAAAGATAGAATGCGTAAAATAGACCGAAAAACGAACGAAATAAGAACGGAGCTATAAAACTGGAGAGCCTATTTGTCAATTTTTCGCATACCCAAATGCGCCAGACGCAGAAGTCAAGCGTAATTGAGATTTGGAAACAATTCAACTTTCCGAGACTTTGAGTTTCATTAAGTTACATGGTTAATCTAAAGAAATCCAAAATTAATTAATCACTTAGGAGTTAATAATATTAATAATAATGAAAGGATGACAATTAATAAATTATTATTAAATAATAGTACTACCATAATTTTTTAAAAATAAATAAATAATAATAATTAATTGATTGACTACTTAATTAAGCTTAAATGGAAGAATTTAAAATGATTAATTCAATTTAACTTATTTAACATTTACGTCTAGCTATACTTGACAGAAAGGCAGTTTCATGGCAGACCTTTTAGGTATAAACGCTAACTG